TGAAGGGGTAGAGAAATAGAGACCTACATAGGACAGACCTGAAAAGAGCCAAGCTTAGGGAAGTCTAGTGGTGAGGAAAGGAGGAGGACATAATTGGCAGGAATAAAAGAGCTGTGTAACACTGACCCAGAGTTGAGAGGCTAAAGGTCAGTAGACTTTCAAACATGCCTTTTGAAAAGCTATCCGAAGTGAATCTCGGTTCCTACTTGAAATGTAACTAGGTAATAAATCCTGTAATTGTGAGTATTGCCTGTGAGTTCTATGTGGCCACTGCAACAAACCAGTGAACCCTGTGGGAGCCCTTGGTAGTATGGTTGGTGTTAAAAGTAACAGAGAAAGGTGAGAGATCATGGGAAATATCTGACCTTATTGAACTTAGTTTTGCGCCACAGATGATGCTAATGGGCATCCCCTGTGGATTAGAGCAAGTCAGATTCAACTGGTGCAACACTTGGCTACACTGTTTTTCCTGAACATCAAACTCATCTTTCAAAATGGGGAGCGGATAGAGCTTGTCTAAAGTTGATTAATAAAATATGAACCATCAATAATGGTTACCTCTCTGAGGTGTGAAATATATTTTACTCTTTTTAATCTTCAAGTGTTTTGTAGGCCTTGTGTGTGTGTGCGCGTGTGTATTACTTCTATAATTAAAAATATATATTTATGTTTTAAAATCAAATTTCCTATGTAAACATGATGGTTATGAATAGATTAAAAATGGTTCAGTAATTGTCATCACAAATAAGCATCATTAATAGAATGCATAGCAACCAAATCTGGTGTCTGTGGTATTTTGAACAGAGGAGGAAATAGGATCAATATGTTGCTATTGTTATGTGCCATCAAATTGCTTACAACTCACAGCGACCCTATGTACAACAGCCCTAAAGGCTGCTCTATCTTGAGCAGACTTCATTGTCTCTGACACACTGAGTCATTCCATCTCACAGAGGGTCTTCCTCTCTTGCACTGTCCCTCTACCCTTCCAAGCATGACGCCCCTCTCCAAGGCTGGTCCCTGCTTCTAACATGCCCAGAGTATATCAGATGGAGCTTCAGAATCCTTGACTCCAAGAAGTAACCCAATTTCATCCTCTCCAAGATGAAACTGTTCTCCTGGCAGTCTATGGTTTAAAACTCTTCTCCAGCACAACTTAAAGGTATCAGTTCTTCTTCTGTCATCCTTAGTCACTGTCTAGCTTTCTAATGCATAGCAAGTAACTAAAAAGACCAATCAGGCATATCTTCGTCTTCAGACTGACAACACTGCTTTTTAGTCCTGTAGAGAGGTCCCTGACTGCGGATTTTCCCAATGCAATTTGTCTTTTGATTTCCTGGCTGCTGGTACCAAGACTGTTGATTGTGGAGCCAAGCAATGTTAATAATCTCTTTACGGTCTATCATAATGCTACCAATTGGCCTAGTGGTGAGAGTCTTTGTTTTCTTGATGTTGAGATTCAATCCACATTAAAAGCTGCAGTCCTTGACAAGCAGCAAAAGCCTCAAGTCCTCCTAAGTTCCAAAGGTTGTGTCATCTGCATAATGCAGGCTGTTTTTGAGTCTTCCTCCAATCCTGATGCCACATTTTTGAGTCAAAATCAACTCATCCACAGTGGGTCTGAGTTTTTCTACTTTTTGGGGGGGGCAGGGTTTGGGTATTTTATTTTTTTTAGACAACAAACAGCTGTGTCACACTGACTTCACCACTTTGAATGTGTTCTGCTCTCCAGATTCCTGTTCATAATCTAATTTACTTTTAGGGGAAGTGCCAAATTGCCTTCCAGAGTGATTATACCATTTTACAATCCCACCAACAATGTACAAGAGTTCTTATCCCACCACATCCTCTCCAGCATTTATTCCTTGCTATCCTATTAAACTTTGCCACTGCAAAAAACAAACAAACAAACAAAAAAAACCTTTGCCACTGCAACTGAAGTGAGTTGGGGCCTAAATTCTTGATATGGTTCTATTTCTATGCAGTTCTAGCCAGGATATAGCTGAACATAGAAATTCCATGTGGCCCAGATATTCCACTGCTTGGAATATAACCCGAGAAAATGGGAACTCAGGTACAAATGGAGACTTGTACATCAATGTTCCTAGCAGTGTTATTCACCATCACAAGAACATGGAAACAGCTCAGATGTCCAATTACAACTGAATCAATTGAGAAATTATGGTAGATTCACACAATGGAATACTACACAGCACACAGGAGCAAGGATTACATAAATTACTGTCTAACTTGGGAGGGACTGGAGAGCATTATGCTTAATGAACTAACTCAGTCCTGTAAGGACAAAATACTGTATTAAACCATTATTGTCAAATGAGTATGAAGTTCCAAAGGGGTGGTGGTGGAAGCAGAGGGGTGCGGATGGGTGGGGAAGAGGAGATAATCATAGGGTTGTACAATTTGATAGGGGTGATATGAAGGAAATGGGAAAGATGCATTGTGAAAATCCATATATTCAGACTTTGTATATAAACCACTATTTTTTTAAAAAAAAGGGGGAATTTAGGCCTTTGGTCGTAAAACACCCCATGCTCTTTCTTCACAGATGATCATCTTCTGTCTCTATGCAATTTCTCCCCTATGTGAGAAAAACAAGGCTACACATTTGTATCACCTCTAACAGCTTGAAGAATAGTATGGCTGCCTTTCATAAGCATTCAACACAACTTCATTTCCACTGCTTTTATGAAAGATTTACATCAGGGAAAATTAAGCTCATGCTGATCAAAGTCTTACGTATTTAACTACATTATCTACCATACTGAAAAACCATTAAAAAATGTGTGAAATGAGCAAAGGGAAAGGGAACTCCCCTCAAGTGAAAAAGGATTATGCTTTTCAGGTAATAAAGAAACAAAACAACAAATAACCCACTGATTATCTAAGGTTTGACCTGAGAAAGGTAGGCAGAAGATGAAAATGGAACAAAATTTAGTGAAAAAGAAGCACGCACACATACGTACAAGAGCACATAGGTGGCACAAACGGTTAACACTGAGCTATTAATCTAAAGGTTGGAAATTCAAAAGCACCATCGAAGACAGGTTGGCCTCAGGTTCTCTAAAGTCAGTCTTCAAAATCCCATGGAGTTAGGGAGCTCTGGTGGCCTCGTAGCAAGAAGCTGCACTGCATTCCCAGAGGTATGTGGTTCAAATCCACTAGATGCTTTCTTTCCTGGAGAAAGAGGGGTAATCTCCTCCTGTACCAGTAAAATCCAATTAGACGGTACATAGACAAAGTTATTTTAAAAAAAATTCCACAGAGTTGTTCTCCATCACCCATGAGTCAGAATCCACTGGACAGCAAATACCTGACAATAGGGGAGCATGTACATGCAAGTGTACACTGACTGAATTCTCTAAAAACTATTCTGCACTGTCAGATCCACCCATTGTCAGATTCACAGTTAACTGATGAACTTGTTGTTTGTTGTTTAATGCTGACGAGTCGTAGACGACTCACAGGGACCCTATGAACGAACAGCCTGAGCACTGTTCGTACATACAGTATCCGGAGGCAACTTATCCATTTTGAAATTATGTTGTATTTCCTCAGCTTCTCAAGGTTAAATTTTTACTATCTCCACATAAGAAATTTCATTACTCTTTCAATGAGTAAAAAGTTGCTGAAAGTTTTACAAGTTATGTACTTTTTTTAATTAAAAAAAGTAAAGCTAAGTGAGCTCTGGTGGCCTTGTGGCAAGAAGCTGCACTGCAATCCCAAAGGCATGTGGTTCAAATCCACCAGATGCTCTGCTGGAGAAGGGGGGGCAATCTCTTCCTATACCAGTCCGATTCAATGGTATATACACAAAAAAGAATAAAACTTTTATTAAAAAATTTAAATAAAAGTAAAGCTAACTATAAAAAAAGTATGTGAAAATTCCATCATGATTACATATTCTTTCTTTTCTGAAGACAATTCACCGTTTTTATGAGTTCATACTCCCCAGCTTTTAGTTACAAGTTCAGCACTTAACCATGACATATCACCAGTCAGGACAAGCGTTCCGTTCTGTTGTTATTATGTGCCATCTAGTCACCTGAAACTCACAGCAACCCTATGTACAACAGCTCTGAATTCTGCCCTATCTTGAGTCATTCTCACGACTCCAATACACCTACTCCATTACCCTAGTTACTGTATAAATCCATCTCATCCAGGGTCGTCTTCTCCTGCGCTGTCCCTCTACCTTTCAAGTATAATGTCCTTCTCCAAAAACTGGTCCCTCCTGGAGATGTGCCCAAAGTATGCGAGATGGAGCTTCAAAATCCTTGCCTCCAAGGAGAAACCTGGTTTCATCCTCTCCAAGACAGATCTGTTTGTTCTCCTGGAGGTCCACAATATGTTCAATACTCTTTTCCAGCACAATAACTCATAAATTTTTCTATTATCCATAACTGTCCAGCTCTCTGACGGATAGCAAGTAAATGCAAAGACTTGCCCTGGATCAGGAACATCACAGTCTCTAGACTGACATAATTAATTGCTCTTTAGCACTTTGGAGAGGTCTCTGACAGCATACTTCCCCAATGCAATTCATCTTCTGATTTCCTGACTGCTGATGCCAAGAGTGTTGACTGTGGAACTGAGCAAGCCTTCTATCATGATGCTGTCAACTGGCCCAGTGGTGAGAATTTAATTTCTGCCTGCACACTAAAATTTTACTTTTTACCTGACTGCTGGAGTTAAAAGATTTTAGTTCTAACTGCGTTAGTATTTTGGTTTTAGTTGGAGTTGATGTACATCAAATCTTCGTTATCTTTGCCAATCTAAGATTTCCTTTCTAACGAATGCTCAGACTTAGACAAAGCTGTCTCTCTTTGAGTAGCTTGAACCAAGGAGAATGAGTAAAAGCACAATCCCTTCAGAAGTGATGAAGAATGGGAAGTCCTTTCTCCACAAAATAATTACTCCATATTACCAAGGAGCCCCAGGGCAACGACAAATATCTCCATCAACTCAGCCTCAGTACTCACGGAAACAAAAGTGAAGCAAAGGCCAGCACCCCTGTGTGCCAGCTGCTCCGTGTCAAGCCGAGGTTTTGCGAGCATCACTGACATCAGGGCTGGCAAAGCAGACTGTTCCTCCGATGCCTCCTTGGCTATGCTGCCATCTAAACCGTAGAGGGGCTGCTCTACTCGACGCTAGAAAAGAGTAAAGAGAAAACAAATTACAAACAAAAGAGAAGCTGAGAATTGCCAAAACATGTAAGCAATTAAATCATGCGTTATTAAATGTAAGACAAATGATTTTTTTAAAAAAAACAAGAACTCTCTGAAAACAATTACGGAAAACAACCAATCCATAAACCTAGGTTAATACTGTACTCAATCTCTGCAAATTCCTTTTTAATGTTTCCATAATTACATAACTCTAAATTTGCAAATTACTTTATAGAGTTCAACTAATCAACTTCACTATACATTCAAACCTACACAGGAAATGTCATTTCCATCTTGTACGTAACTGAAGACATTTAATCCATGACTTTAATGGCTTACTTCCATATCATTTGTTTTCCACAACTTAGATATGAAAAGCTTAAAAAACCAGGTTTCCTGTTGTTGGGAGGTGCCATCAAATCAACAACCCTTTAGAGTGACCCTTGCCCTATCCTGTGTCATCCTCACAATCTCCACCATTTCCCAAGTCAATTGTTATAGTCACTGTGTCAATCCATCCCATTTAGGTGAAAAGATTCTACAGTGGACTAAAATATAATTATAATGATAATTTAAAAAACTACAATTTGCAATCTGCACACCTTTGTCCAAATACTTAAATTTAATTTAATATTAGCAAATTTATAAATTTTTTATTACTGTTGGTGGTGGTGTATATCAGAAGGAAAAAAATTATGATTCTTTCCAATGATAATAAGGAAGATTTGCACATTGCTAGGCAATCTGAAAAACTAGAAGCATTTTCTTTTAATACAGCAGAGTTGGTTTGTTGTGTTGTGGGTTTTTTTTCTTTTTTTCAGAAATCAGTGCAAATATTATAATTAACAGTACAATACCCTTTAAAGTTATTAATCAGATGAAGATACCATATTAACTTTATCATTCAACAGTTTTTATAGAAGTTTTAGCAAGCTAATAAGCAAAAAATATTGAGCGATATTTACTGGAAAAAGTATAGTAAAAGTGTCATTTTGGGATGATATAATTATTCACAAAGGAAACCAAACAAATAAATTGGAAAAACATACAGCCAGACTTAAGAATTCAGGAAGATGGTCAAATACAAGGTACATAAAAGTTAATACCTTTCATATATACCAGTAAATAAATATAATTTGTCTGAACATGTAACAAAGGGGGAAAAGAAGATTTAAAATAGTAAAAAAAGACATAAAATATTTGGGAATATATTTATGCACACATGGAAAAACTTATGCTTTACCAAAGAATCTGAAAAGAAAAAAAAAAAAAGAGAGACCTAGACTGAACGGTGAGAGCATGTTCCTGGACCCAAGGTGGTAAAGATATCAACTTTCTCAAAAAACCTATTATTGTTGTGTGTTGTTAAGTCGGAGCCAACTCACAGCTGACCCTCCTCGGAGTTTTCAAAGGCAGTAAACGGCACAGGAGGAAACTTCCCATTCCCATCCCCCATTCCCCACCTCTGCCACTCCAAGAACATCTGGTGCATTTCAACTGTGTGCCTTTGGTAATGCAGTGTATTGTCTTGCCACCAGGCCTTAAGAGCTCTCTAAAACCTCAAAGGGGCTTTATTTATATTTAAAAAGATTTGTGTGTGTTTCATTTTCTCTCTCATTCTTTAGTAGTTTGGGGAGGAAACATCACAAATTCTTTATGAGGTTCACATGTCAAAATAATCAAAACCAGTCACATCATATAGCAAGTATCATGGAAACCTGATCAACTATTAACACTGTTTATAAAGCTACACTGTTTAATACAGTACAATATTGTCATAAACTAAAAGAAAAAGAAAAAATAAACACCTTAAAACACATAGCTGACCCTCTAGCTCCAGTGGTTTTTCAGACTGTAAAAAGCAGGGGAAGAGAATACCTATCTTTCTCCAGTGGAGTAACTGGTAGTTGGCCTTTGGATTGGCAGCACAACTCTTTATCCACTAGGCCTCAGGTATAGGAACAGGCAAATCCGTTAAGGGCACAAACAGATTCACTCCAGAAACAAGTGTATGCCCTCATGAACATATAATTTGCAACGGAAGTACATTCCAAATTAGTAGGAATTTATTAAAATATTACAGAACACAACTACTAGAAATTAGACAAAGGTAGATTCCTAATAAAAATGACAAGACAATTACATAAACAAATGTTTTTATAAACATTTTTTTGTGGTAAGAAACATTTAAAATATGACATTAAAAACATAAACCACAGAACCCAGGGTGTTGGTCTGGGCGCGCAGGCAGGAGTTTCCACAGTGATGTTCTGCCTCTGGTGTAACTATCAAGTTCACTGTGTTCCACTCTTTTGGTATTCAGGCTGGATGAGCAAGGTGCTGGATGTGAAGAGTGGAACACAGAATCACTGAATCAGAGGAAAATGAATAACTGCCAGAACATCTCAACAATGGATTTTTACTATCATCTGAAAAGCCTCAGTAAGCTGATTTGACACCTGACCTGTCCAGTCTTCATGATGTTGGGTCCTGAGGGACATGTAGGATTGGTGGTCAAGGTACGTGGCTTGCTGTATGCTTGTTCTATAGAAGATATGCAGAATTTTCTGTATGAATATAAAATTCATGATGATAGGGCTGGTGTTCATTTCATCTATACACAAGAAGACAAGCAGGGTGGTAAAGCTTTTGTTGAACGCGAATCAGATGATGATGTAAAAATGGCCCTGAAGAAAGACGGAAAAAGCATGGGCACCTCTATATTGAGGTATTCAAGTCCCATAGAAATGGATTGGGTATTGAAGCTCAGGGGTCCAAATGGTGCCAACACTGCCAGTGATGGTTTTCTGTGCCTTCGAGGACTCTCATTTGGATACACAAAAGAAGAAATTGTTCAGTTCTTCTCAGGATTAGAAATCATGCCGAATGGGATCACTTTGCCAGTGGAACCCGAGGGCAAGATTACAGGGGAAGCTTTTGTGCAGTGTGCTTCACAGGAATTAGCTGAGAAGGCTCTAGGGAAGCACAAGCAAGGAATAGGGCACAGGTATATAGAAGTGTTCAAGAGCAGTCAGGAAGAAGTGAGATCATACTCTGATCCCCCTCGAAGTTCATGTCTGTGCAATGTGACCCGGTCCCTTTGACAGGCCTGGCACTGCCTGGAGATAACTGGCATTGTCAAAGAAACAGGCTTTGACAGGATGAGGGTATATAGCACAGGTTATGGGAGCTGTGTGGAGTATAGTGGCCTCAGTGACAGCTATGGTTTCACCATTCATCGGTTTGGAAGAGATCTCAGTTACTGTCTGTCAGTGAGTGGAGACAGCGAGTTAGCTGTCCAGAGCACAACTAGACACTATGTCCCCACGAGGAGGCTTCTGTACAAAGCAACTGAGAATGACATTTATAACTTCTCTCTCTCAACCCCAAGAGTGCATACTGAGACTGGCCGGCATAGAAGAGTGACGGGAAAAGCAGATGTTGAGTTTGCCACTCATGAAGAAGCCGTGGCCTCCATGTCAAAAGACAGCGCCAACATGCAGCACAGAAACATAGAGCTCTTCTTAAATTCAACCCTAGGGGCCAGCAGTGGGGCTTACAGATGATGCAGGGCACCGGGGGGTGGGTGGGTGTGTGTGTGTGTGTGTGTGTGTGTGTGTGTGTCTCTCTCTCTCTCTCAACGCAGTACTGGCCTTGTTTGTGTGTGTGTGTGTGTGTGTGTGTGTGTGTGTGTGTCTTTCTCTCTCTCTCTCAATGCAGTACTGGCCTTGAGAGCCATCCGGTCAGTGGCTGTTATGGGGCTGATGGCAGCAGTCATCATCAGAACAGCATGAGTGGATACGACTCGTTTTCTAGAAGCATTTGAGTTAACGTGAAATTTTCACAGACAGCCACAAAGCAGTGGAAAGCATTTATAATTTAGAGGAAGCTGTGGGACCCATTTTGCACCATGAGTTTGTGAAATCTATATTCAAAAAATTGTCTCTTCAGTGTTTTCTCATTCAAACTTTTTTCTAGCATGTGATAAAGATATTAACTATAAAAAACTATTTTCAGCTTTTCTTAATTAACATTTTGGTAGTACATTTCAGAGTGACATCTGAATTAAAGTAGTTTAAAGTATTTAAAGTATGTTAAATGTGGTTCTTTGGCACCATGTTACAGCAAACACATTTGAGAGACATGCTTTTTTTGAAAACTTGAAGGTGCTAGATCCATAATCCAAAGCGAAGTATTTCTCATGTTTGTTCATTCTAGTCTATTTTCATTCAAAATCTTAGGTTTTAAGCTTCTGAAAGTTAATTTTGAAAACTGAGACACAATACTAATAATGTAGGAATTGTTGAGGCCCTTTTGGGTATATTCTACTAAGTGAAACTTATTAACTAATTTTTTTTTCCTTAGAGATTTTTTTTTCATAATCAAAGAAAAATACATATAAACCATACAGGAATGTTTAAGAATGACACAAAATCCTAGAAGGAAAGATCACGGATACATTTAACTAATTTAAACTTACTTCAACATAAAGTTAAAAGACAAAATTGTAACCAGGGAAAAATTTTATATTATAAATGGCAATTAATAAGAAAAGATAAAATATTCCAAGGGGGAGTGGGGAAGAACTGAACAACAAACATTAAAAAGAAAATTCAAAAGACCAGTAAACCATATGAAGAAAAAATGTTTACTATCTCTAATAAGGTATGCCATAAGATATTCTTCCCTAACTACACTAGGAAATGACAGGGTGATCTCAGCAGGGTCTACAGAAATTGGCACGTTCAGCTTTTAGCAACTTATGACACTATTATAAATATGACAAACCTATTCGTTGACTTGGGAATTACAGTGAAGGAATTTACCCCAAGGTAGGAAAAAAAGGCAGAATCATAACTGTGTATAAGAATATGTATTACGAGTTACAGTATAACAAAAGAGATGAGGACGTTTAATATATACACAAACACCTGCCCGTAAAAACAGTAGTTTTCTGGGAGAAATTTTCTATTTTCCCATTT